TCTGGCATTTTATACCTGATCTCGATCTCTACCGATCTGCTGCAATCGCAAGCATGTGTGGCGGGCAAGTCATTCGACAGAGAAGGGAACATTGGAGGTACGGATACCGCTCCAAAACGACCACAGGAGCTCGAGATGGCGCGTAGAATGGAACGCCCGGCGCCGCTCACCTCCCACGCGAGCCGTACCTAAATACATCCTCACCTCGCCACTTCCTACCCCCGCCCACAGCAAGAATGGGAGCAAGTGCACCGGGCTCTATGTTTGCAAGTCGCAGCCGAATTTGCATTCCGCCACGATCCTTCCACTTGCAGTCTGCCCCGGCGAGCAGCGTGGCTCAGAGTCATCACTATATCCCGCCAAGTGCGTGAGCCCGAGGGAGAGCCAGTGACGGGACGCTTGCTCGCATTTCGCTATGTTTTACGTTGGGTGCTTGTGCCTGGGTGCGTTGCCCGCTTGGGCTGTGTCAGGAAGAGGATTTGGGTGCCACGCACCACTGTCCTCCGCTCCGCTACAGCCGGACGTACGCAGCAGTACTGCGTACACATTCTAGGTACAACGCTACCGCTCTGATCCTGAGCCCCAGCGGTCGATGTTCCAATGCCCCATGCCCCACGCTCACGAAGCCTGCTGCTCCACTCCCAGGGGCCAACAGGGGAGTCTCATGCACGGGACTGCCCAAGGCACAGCAATTCAAGCCCGTTTGGATTAAGCTTCTGTCACATCCTCACATCTTCGAACATCTCTGCCCAGTCTGAGCGAATCTGATCGAACGTGAAAATCCACCGACTCCGCAAAAGACTGACATTACCCTTTGCCAAGACCAGAAGGCTCCCCACCATCCCTCCGTCTGCCCCCCCCGTCACGACGTCTCAGGTTGACCCAACTAACGCCCTCAACTAATCCTCTCGATTACGCTCGCCCTCACCGCAACCACCTGCCCTCCCCGACTAGAGTTGCCTTTTATCCTGCAACATCAAGCTCGCGCCCCAAACCGCACAACCAGGGTTTCTAGTGGTGGAGCTACCGCATCACCACGCACCGCGCGCCCCTCATCCTAGCCCAACAACGGGTATCGTTGCCGATTGAAGAACCTAATCCTTTCCTCCCCGGCCCTAAATGGTGTATATTTTACCGAGGCCAAGACGGAGGGTTTAAGAAGGCAAAACTAGATAAAGGAGCCCCGATCCCAGTCTCCCGTCAATTGGGCCACCGATTCATTCCCACTACCAAGGCCAACCACCGATACGAAGATGGAGACATATTTCGGATTTGTGCGGACACCCAATGACGCCATCAAGCTTTTCGAGGCATGTAGGCTCGGTCTGCTACCGCGCGTACAACGAAGACTGTCCGAGAAGGAAAGGCAAGCCATCCGGTCCGGTTCCGTCTTTGTTTGGGACGAGCGGGAAGCCGGCATGCGCAGGTGGACTGACGGGAAATCATGGAGCGCAAGTCGCGTGTCCGGAAGCTTCTTGACCTACCGGGAAATGGAGGGAAAGCGAGGCAATGGCTTTGGCGGCAGCCGGAGAGGTGCCGGAAAGACTCCCGACTCTGGCCGCGGTAGTGACGAGGACCAGGATGACGGCGAGCCTGACGGATACCGGTATAAGGCCGATGGGCTCATGAAGCAGTCGTTCAGTATTACGACATCCACCGGTCAACATCTCCACTTGATCTCTTATTTCTCGAGGGGGCCGCAAGACCTTACGACTCCCACTAACGACTCGAATCTTCGGAATGTCGTTCCTGCCAAGGGCATGTATCCAGAGTCAAGCCTCAACGAGACCCCCGGGCCTGCCTTGACGAGAGTTCCTATGCAGCAGCCATACATGCAGCACCACCCACAACAGCAAGGACCGCCGCCTCATCAAGGCTATCCTCCCCAGTACCAACAACACTATTGGCCGCCGTCGCCAGTTGCGACACCGCCGTACAGTCATGGTCACTATACGACTGCCCCGCCATCCTACTCACCAGCATCTCTCCCTCCCCTTCAGCAACAACACACATATCCTAGCCTCCAGCAGCAACAGCAGCACCACCAGCAGCAGCAGCAGCAACCTCAGCAGCAGCAACTTCAGCAGCAGCAACCTCAGCAGCGGCACCCTCAGCAGCAGCAACTTCAACCTCAGCAGCAGCAACCTCAGCAGCGGCAACTTCAGCAGCGGCACCCTCAGCAGCAGCAACCTCAGCAGCAGCAACTTCAGCAGCAGCACCCTCAGCAGCAGCAGAACCACCTACAGCACCACCAACATCAGCAGCATCCAAGTCAACAGCAGCACCACCAGCAATATCAACGCGGTCCTCCCCCGTACGAACGCGCGCCCCTGCCGCCGCCGCAGCCCTCGCAGCAATTGCCACCTCCTTTGCAACAGTTACCACACCCTACACAGCAGTTGCCGCAACCGCAACAGCTGCAGCCCAAGATCGGACTACCGCAACCGCTACCACAATTCCAACAACAAAATACGCACCAATCGCCACATATGTCACAATCGAATCGAATGGCCCCAATTGACTCACCGCGATCCCAGCACCTCCAAGCGCAGGCCAGGGAAGCAGTCCGGATCGACCCGCTGCTGGCAGGCAAAGTCGCCCGCAGCCCGCAAAGACCACTCCCATTACTAGCGCCACATCACTCGCAGCATGGATTAGGGTCCAACGCGACACCACCTTTGAGGGCAACTTCGGCTTCTCCTCCGCGGAGCTCGCACTCTGATTCTAAGGCACCGCCCCCGCTCAATGCGGCAAGCATCAAGGCTAGTCTCTCGGCACTGCTTCTGCACCCGAGCCCTTCAAACTCGGAGCCCAGCAGCGCAAACCCAGGCAGCGCCAATAGTGCGAATAGCTCACCGAGAACCCAGTATGCCATCAATAACGCTGATAGGACATCGACAAATGGAATGGCGGCAGGGCAGCAATTACTCATGGAAGACAAGAGGGCGTTAAATATCCTGGATAAGAAGTTTTACGCCTGAACCCATTTGCCCCGGTAGATGGGCTAATGTTGAAGAAACAGAGCGGCACAGCGCTCAATCCTCTACTCAAGACAGGTCGAACCCCACGGCTGTGGAAGGTCGTTTTTGTTCGCATTGGTCTCGGAGATAGGAACGGGCGTAAGTCGACTGGCATTTCCTGCGCCAGATTTTCTTTTTGCCAGGGGAAGACTTTCGGAACTTTCGGGGGCCGGGAAGGGCATGGAAACATGGAGCATTGTGATTCCTTTCTTCCCTTGTTTTCAAGTTATATGGTTATCAAAATCTGTTTCATCGGCATCCGATACTGGCGTCAGTACGGCAAACATTGGGATGGCGTTGGGGTTAAGCGGAGGCGGCTTCCGTTTTGGAGCGTGCCAGGTTAAGAGGTTGTTGCATGTATGGTCATAGGAGGCGTCTTAGCGAGCGGTGCCTGAAATTAAAAATATCCTTCGCAATTATTATTGTTGAGTTGTGTTTTGAGTGACCAGTGCGCAGACGCTCCTGCGTTGTGGGCTAATTTTCATTCCATTAACGTGTCAAGTAGTCAGGTCGGGCTGTGGCGGACGTAACCGGGAGCTTCGGTAGGTGTTGTGCATATTATGCCAGGAGTAGGGATGGCGAACTTCAGAGTTGTGGTGTTTAATGCCGGTGGGTGGTTGGATGCGATATGTGTATGATGTAAGTTTATTACCGGTTACCCAGATACGACAAACTTAAACGGCTTTGTTGTTTGTGCCTATCCGAGCCCAGCTCCTGGTGACATGGGAAGGTAGCTGCGTGAATAAGTACCACAGATATATTGTTTATCGCTCAGTGGTGGAGGGCATTTACAGAACACAACTCAAATCTCGGGTAGGACGATGCCAGGTCACACGGCTGGTGGTCTTAGTTTCCCATTCGCGTCTTGGTATAGTGCTCTGAGTTGAGGGTAACCGCTGCTCGGTGCCAATGATGGCGGTTCGAGTAACAGGTGGATGCTGTCCCGAGAGCTGCCAGCGCAGATATCAAAGCGAGATGAGATGAATATGTAGCACTAGTGACAGTTTGAGGAACATAAATTACGTTTCTCAACTTCGTGAACTGTTGAACTATCGGTTTTAGAAAGCTGGTCGTGTTTTCTTTGCGGAGTAGTGATGATTTGCAATGTATCATGATGTTGCTAATTTGTGAAGCCAACCATACTCTGCCACGGCCCACGTTGAGAAAACTATCATTCATGGCCTTATAACGTTATTCCGAAAGGTGTTACGATCAGGCACCCATTCAATTCCTGCTTGTCTACCATATCTAATGCTTGAGTGTCACGGAACTTTAGGCTGCGAGTCTAATTCTACCAATGCCCAAATCTCAAGACTCAGGCCACCAAACGCAACATACACATCGTAGTGACTTCCCCGTGCTACACGATACACCCGGGACCCGCCTCGCTATCCAATGGCATTTTAATCAGAGGTTTTGGTCAGCGCATCCGAGAGTATCGCTAAATCGGGAATTGCATCATCGTTCGAAGATAGGACTGCTCGAAGCAACAGCGTATTCGACGCGTCACGGCGGAATACGCACAAAGTATAACACAACTAACTCATCTCATCTAGACGTATGCCTCTAGAAACCTGGCCCATGAAAAATTGGGCGACTTTGGAAGCTGCAAGGGTCTCGGAAACAAAGGAGGTTTTGTAATGCAGTGTTCCACAATGTTCAAGTTCTTCTCAAACGCAACTTCTATAAACAGCATAGAGCATCAACAGAATAACCCAAACGCGCATGTGTAAATGCGGCCATACTAATTATTATGGAGGGCTCTTATTATGTATCTAACGTAGCAGCATGTAACTGGCACGACCACGTCAGCACATGTTTGAGTTGGTACAAAATACTCCCCAACCACACATCCGCATAGATACTATGACCTACATGTATACCGTTTTGCTGCAATCGAGAAGGATTCGTGTCCAAAAAGAGAATGACAAGGCAAGTCAACTTTCTGAACTGGGAAGAGACCGCCTGGCAAAAGTATATTGATAACGGTGAGCTTCGAACTCACGCCCTTTCGGACCACGGAATCATGAGATTGTATTAAGGGTTAACCCCAACGTGGCGCCTCAACCGCTCGGCCACGTTACCTTGCTGGATGGTATTTTCCTTGCCTGGCAATGGAGCTGACTGTGGAGCGCGAAGGGTTGGGTTTGGGGAACGCCGGATGTGTTTGGGTGGGGACTCGGGGATATTCCCAGTTGGCCAAATCCTCATACTCGAAAGAGCGTTCACGAAAAGCTGTGGAGAAAGCCGATAGTGTAGATGTACTGCCCAAAAGATAAGTTGGGGACCCATGGGAATATTGAACAAGGTAGCTTGGTCAATGGAGAACAGACAGCAAATAACACGTTCATCTATTTAACTTGACCATGACACTACCGTGATATTGACGGACCTGGCTGTGAAAGATGCCTAAGTTACCCAGCATGGAACCGAACCCATCCGAGTTGTTGGGCTGTAAATACTGCTAATAAGGGGGCGCGCGCTGCATTCTGGATGCCACTCTAGCTCAACACCCTGGGCGTGGTTCAAAACTACAACAAGACTATATACTCGACTCAATATCCTCGTCATGATACCATTGATCTTCTGTTAATTGGTAAAATTACTTGGCTCGGTGTTATGGTGCTAGTAGACTAGGCTGAGAATCGGTTGGAAATCCAACGCTGAGGATAGGAGGGTATCATCATTTAGAAGCGTGTTTAGTTCCTCTGATATGGTGGCTGACATTGCGATGGCGTGCGTTCGACATGCCAATTCGCATTCATCGAAACTAAATAGGTACCAGTATTGTCATTCACTGTTGCGGCGTGGGTGCGACAGTTTGTGCGAAAAGACTGCCACAGGTAGACTGTGTCACTCGGGCAGGCTGAGGAACATGAATCAGGTTGACTCGCAGGCGAAAGGAATAAGCTGGTCAAAAGTCAAAAGGGAACTGGATGAGATGTAATTTGTTCCTGGTGGTGGCCGGAAATCCACGCTGCACCTGTCAAAGTGTGGTGGTCATATGAGCTTCTCGAAAAGCATACGCACAACAATCCAATTACACGCGCTTGATTCCTCGTAAATGATGTGCAGACTGAAGTCGCAAGGTGTGATGGAATCGCATCCCGGCGGCAAACCGTTCACGTAATGATAGGTGACTCGCCGAAGGGCAATCTGGCTAATCCAACGGTACTGGTCGGCAGGAAGTGAATCTTTTGGGCTGGTTGGGAGATGCGCAGCAAAACCGACACGACACCAAATCTACGACGCAAACTTTTGGTGCCTGAATTGCGGCGACTGCAGAACAAAATGACGCGCAAAAATAAGAAAAAATAAAGCCAGCGACCTAACTCAATGATTCATCGATGCTAGTGGTTATTTGAGTCAAGATGAGTGGACGTTGGGCACGGAAGAGGTAGGGAGTGGTTAATGTGCGGATAGCTTCACGACTGATCGTCGCGGGGCATCGCGCAATATCATCAATCGTGACTTTGGATGCAGACGCCGAAATCTTTGAAACGGGAGCTGCAACGTGGGGCAAAATGTGACGACAATAAAACTGGCGTCGAGGAGATGCATACCCAGTCATTTTAATACAGCAAAGCAGGGGTTGTGTGAGCGCTATTGCGAGTGCGCTTTGAAGTCTTGGTGGTCGCGAAGACAGAAAGAAACACAGAATCGCGTTCCAAAAAACGGCCGCGACATGGATTCCGGGGCCCGTACGGCAGCAACTCGCGTCGATCGAGTCAGGGCCGATATGGGGCCGAAAAAAATACAGAAAATTGGGATGCAAACGCACATAGGTAACGGAGCCTGGAATCGGTGTGGGAGGGCGTGCGAAGAAGCGAGAGAAGCAGAGGAAGGCTTCACACTCGAGCGATGGGGGACGGCGAAGGCTCGAGATCAGAGAGTGAGAGCTTTGCGTCCTCGTCGATGGCGGGGTGCGCATGATTGACAACGCGAGGTACAAGGTGGATGACTTGTTGTTGAACGGGCCAATCAGAAAAAAGGTGTGCTGCGAGTTTTTCGACGTTTCCGATTTAAATGGCCGCCGCGAGCTCGCCAAAAGGGGGAAAGCGCAAAAGCCGGGGCGGCAAGTGATCGAAGCGACCAAGAAACGCGGCAGGCCAGCACTCGGCGGGCTCCCGAGTCGCTGACGAGGGGGAGTTCTCCACACTGGCACAACGCAGGTGGACGCATGAGGGCGCAGGACAATTCACGTCTTTCGTCTGTCGCCGCTCGAAGCCATGTGCGACACAGCATACATGTGTGCTCGGGGTTTGGGGATCCAAGCCTTGGGGTAGCGGGTGAGGCATGCGAGAACGCCCAGGGCAGCTAGGACAGAAGCGCAATGCAAGTCGGGCATCGATCCGGGAAATGGGGTAGCAGGAGGTGGGAAGTAGACGTGATAATAATTGAATCGCCGCATCCCAGAGCCACGCACGTTGGAGCGTTGGAACGTTGGGCTGACCGACCTGGAACGGGCTTGCCACACCTCGCCCTGCTGCCCGTGATGCGGCACTGATGCCATGCCACCTCACCTCCGCGAGACGAGGGGGAATTGCCAGGTGGTCCCACCTGATCTGCTCGTTCATACCTCAACCTGCCCGACAGCCTGGGGGAAGGCGGGCTGGCGGGCAGCAGCCCGGCAGTCGATGAATGAGAGACAAATGAATGTGGTGGAGGGGGAGGGCGCGACACCCGGTCAGAAAATTGAGCTGAGGAGCTGGATAGGTCGAGGGGATGGGACGGAAGCTTCATCGCCCGGGCAAGCTCCGAGGCCCTCAATTGCTGGCAGGAGCTCAATGCTCCCAATGTTCTCCGTTGAAAGTTGTCGCAGCCTTCAGGTCTTCCAGCGGGAGCACGGGCCAAGGCTTCCACCAAGCCGTGAGCTTTGCCCCGGGGAATGGCCTGCAGGTGTGTTGTGAGACCAGTGAAGCTCAGGGCTCACGCCGCGCAATCACTCGAGGGCAAACCACACCCCCGCCCCCATATATAAACACCCGGGCTGCCCTCCTCGAGCGCGACTGCCCGCCCACCATCTTGTCCCAGGTTCCTCTCGATACGAATTCAAATACGATCTAGATTATTTTATCTCATCCAAAGCGCGCAAGCCAAGCCATTCAATCCGATTCAGCTTTCAGACTATCCCACGCTTTTTTAGCCCACCCACACAAGCAACCAAGATGCCTCCCAAGAAGACCTCGCCCGCCGCTGCTGCTCCCAAAGCGGCCAAGGCAGCACCTACCCACGGCTCCTACCAGGTAAGCGGCTTTGACACCGGCCCTTTTGGATGATAATCTGTATCTAACAATAACCAGGCCATGATCACTGACGCTATTGTTGCGGTAATTACTCCCGTTCCTCTGCTTCCGGCGCATTCGGTGTCGGCGACCGGTCGGCAATGCAAATATGAGTGAAGCTCATGATGCTTTGCCGCTCGCATTGCACCAGTGCCCCCTCTCCTCGTAGATTGTCTGCAAGGAGAACAAATTATGCTGACTCTGTTTCCCGCATTCTAGCTCAAGGACCGCAATGGCTCCAGGTAAGAAGCATCAATTTTTCTGTCACTGTCGCTGTGTCGGCCGCAAATCCACTTGGCTGCGTTTGCAGTGCACATTTTCATTTCCCATTTTTCGCGCACCGCACTAACACAGCGACCAGCCGGCAATCACTGAAGAAGTATGTCAAGGCCAACAACACCATCAATGTTGTCGACAAGATGTTCGACTCGCTCTTCAACAAGGCCCTGAAGGCCGGTGTCACCAAGGGCGTGTTTGAACAGCCCAAGGGTGCCTCGGGTGGCACCAAGCTGGCCAAGAAGGCCCCTGCCGCCGCCGCTCCCAAGAAGGTAGCAGCACCAAAGAAGGAGGCTGCTCCCAAGAAGGAGCCTAAGGAGAAGAAGCCCGCTGCCCCGCCCAAGAAGGCTGCTGCGCCCAAGAAGGAGGCCGCTGCCACCAAGAAGGAGCCCAAGGAGAAGAAGCCCGCTGCTCCCAAGAAGGAGAAGAAGGTCGCCGCCCCCAAGAAGGTTGGTTGATGCACATTCCTTTCCTGGCCGCATCAAATGATCTAACGGCACTCAGGCACCTGCGGTTGTTGAGAAGGCCACAGTCCTGACCAAGACCAAGTCGGGGCGTGTCGCAAAGACGTCAGCCAAGCCAGCAGCCCCTAAGAAGGCCGCCGCACCGAAGAAAGCTGCTGCCAAGAAGGAGAAGACACCAAAGAAAGCAGACAAGGCCGAAGCACCGGCAGCAGCAGCATAATGTCTTTGATCTCTGATGTCTCTGACTTTTAATGATGTCTTTTTCTTACTGACGTGACGGCTTTTTGGGATTGGCGTTAGGGGGCTTGGGAACATGGCGAGGGTTGGTTCATCGGCACGCGTTCTAGCGACAAGCGCGGGGTTTTGCACTGGGCAGTCATGTATCTTTTCGGATTTGCGTGCGGGATGTCTTTTTTTAAATTCTGACGATGGCGGTGGCACACAGCGCAAATGGGATAGGCGGGAACTGGCTGGCTTGGGTGCCGGACCTCGGATTGGATGATTGGGGGGGGGGGGAGCTCACCGCCGAAAAGCGCGCGCCTTTTTTTGCATCGCATATTCCTGCTGACGATACCTACTGGATATTCTCTTGGGCGGGCGGCTTTTTCATGTTACATCATCGCTGCGACGATTTGGCGAGGGAAAAGAGAATTCTACACAGCAGGGTTAACGAGCACCTCGGGCGGTACTCCAATGGCGCAGGATGGTCCGTCTTCTTCGGCGTAACCTGCGCTGCGACGGGGCTGACGTTTTGGATTGTCTTTAGAATTTTCGGGGAGGCCCGATGGTTAGGAAGCTGTAATTATACCAAATGGATGATTTTTGTGTTACAGTCGTACTGCAGATTTGTCTACTACACTCTGTCCGTAGCTTGTGTCTGTGCTGTGAGATATTCCGACGCGATTTGACGTGCGGACGGTTGTTTACGTTTTTTTTTTTCTTATTTCCATCCTGCACTGAAGCCCATTTTTACCCGCTTGTTGATGCGAATTGTAGGGGGCTCTATCATCACGTGTAGGTTGCTATCAGCCTCCTTCTCAGCGATAAGTGGAACGTCGTA